GTATGAAATAACATAAGTTTTGGCAGTCTTTTACCAGGCACCCTGGAACACAGTAGAACGGACATAGCAGAGTATATATATGCAGATTTTCCTTACAATGGCTACAGTGCTGCCAGTGCATTCCTGAAACGTGGAAATACATGGAAGCCAGTGTCAGCGATGAAGAAAAGCTTGCTGTGCCTAACGTACCAGAAAAGCTATTCAAGAACTCATCCTTACGTAAAAGTAACTCCAAAGAAGCTGCCAAGATCAGTGTCAGCCCAGCTTCGCAGCTACACAGTTATCTATCTAGCTTGCACACGTTGGCTTCACCTTGTACACCTGGACACAAAGCCCAAGTTGTTATAAGTGAATGGTTTCAGTTCATCACCTCATTTGTGCATTCAGGCCTTTGACCCTGTGGCCCCACAGACGTCACGGCCTGCACCAGAAACCTGTGCAGAACTGAAATGATTTGGATGCAAATTGTATGAGAGAACATCTCAATTTCTAGCCACGGACACGTTCCCTCAGAGAAGAATCTTTTTCATTGCTTAAAGACAAGGATAATGCAAACCCTCTGAAGACGTCAGCCCAACCTCTGAGAGCACTCTGGTTCTGTACAGCAAATCCTGTACCACAGCTTCCATATTGGTATCCTCTGGTCAGTCTTTGAAACACCTTATTATTACACTGAAGGTGTGGGGCAGTCTGCTCACAGCACTGTTTATTGCACACCGTATTTGCTCTCCTGAGACTCACACCGGAGACCTGTGTGGTGGGACACGCACTTCTTAACTCATGTATAACCAGCTGTCCTGTAGACAGCAATGGCAGGATTAAAAACCCAAACATCTGAAAGCTCCTTTTTAAAATTGTTTTGAAAAATAGAAAGTAAAAAAAGCTGAGAGTCTCCTGTCGCTATAGGTGTCAAATACCCCAAATCCTATGATACAATCAAGGCAGCTGGCCATTTCTGGTTTTCAGAAATGGTGCTGCCACATTGGCTTTGAAATCGAGAGGGTGAGCCCATAATGCAAAGTTATTTCAACCTGATGCTCTCGATAACGATTTGAAGAAATATTCTCCTGGCAGGATACAAAGCATGTAATTACATGCTTCATCATTGCTGGCCCTGTCTGGAAGAGCAGCTGCCATAATTCTGTTAGTGTTTCTGATATAATCCAACAGCTCTTCAAAAAAACTGTAGCTCCCAGAAATTCTTCATTTTAGACCACAGAATTATACTGAAGTTCAAGAACAGAATATTAATTCCGTATCTTTTAAGCCTTCCAAAAAAATTAACATTCAAAAAACAGCCTACAGAGAGCAATGCAGTTGACTATTTCTGCTCCTTAAGGACCGTTAAATGAACATACTTTCTTATAAATAACAAGTTGGTCACCAAGAGGGAAGTCAAGGAGTAAGGGAACATTATCCTTCCCTCTGAATTTTCTGCGTTCATTCAGTTGTGTCATGATTTTCATGTCTGGTAGTTCTCACTGTTTAATTTATATAAACATGATTATAGAAGTATCTACTTCAAGAAAGTACTGCAATGCTGAAAGGGCAAAGGCTTTTTGTCTTGAGAACCTATTTACCCTACACTCTAGCAGAGTCCCATGTGTAGAAACTCCCCTAGATCTGACATCTCTAATCAATACTTATTTCATTAACTTCACTTGGTCTCCTCTTTCAGATATTTCATCCTGACGGTTCACTTACCTGATATACTCCATAAAAATCCAGGGTAAAATGCTCCAAGCTCTTTCAGTAGTACAAGCCCCATAACAAATACAATGGCCTCTCCCAGTAAATGCCTCAAAAAGAGAATCCCTAAATGCAGTTTGCTTGGCAATAGCAGGTATCGGGACTCGGGTATCAGATGTCTGAGCTGCACCAGACACAGATGTTGGTGGAGGTTAGGGCTTATGTACTAAAAGCCATCCTCCATCTTCCTGGCACAAAAGGTCAGTACAGAGAGAGAGGCTACGATGATCCACGCAACCCAGCTCACAACTACCAGTTCCAAGTAGTTCATCTATCACTGGAGTTGCACACACTACCACTGAAAACACCTGACTGAGATGAGATCTAGCTTGTAACTGATCTTGAGGTTTAATTGCTTAGGAAGAAAGGGAGAGACTTCATTTCAAGGCCCTGGATCCCTCTGGAGGACACTGGCTAACACCTCCCTTCCCTTTCCAGACTTTCCAGGCATCTCATTGAGTTTGGCATCTGGTTCATGACGCCAGGTGCAAAGCCCGCTGGCACTGAGAGAATTTCATCCCTCAGCATGTTGTGGATCAAGAAGGGAACATAAACCTTTTCTGTTCTGCCTATGTTTTGTGCAAAACTATACCCAGATCCAGAAAGGTATGCCAGCTCTGCAGCATCATCCAACCTAAACTTGGTACTGCAGGAAAAACCTGTGGGCTCAACTCCTGTTGAGATCCATGGAAGACGTTAGTTTTACTACCAACAAACCTCATATTTGACAGTGAAATCACACACACAGTCTTCGGATAGCAAAACAATAGGAGTAGAACATATTTCAAATGCTGCATTTATTCTCCTGTAGTCTGGCATCGCAGCGGAAACCAAGAGTCACACAACTGTGTAGTCATGAAGATACCAGCCTTCACAAACTACCATGAAGCACTCCCCAAACTACAAGCAAAGACTCACTCCTCCTAACTCACTGCTTCTTCCTCTGCCTCTTTTTTTAAGAGGTTTTTCACTGAAAAGCATCAACATTTAGAGATCATACCTTCATGAAGAACCATCTGGCAAGATGAACTGCCCCAAATCAAGGACATTCTTTGACGTGTCATTTCCAAATCCTACTAGTCAGTAAAAAGCCATTGTTTAAGTCAGTATTAGAGCTGCTACCTAGACTCCATTATTCAAAAAATACCAGGTTTCCAACAGAGCAGCTTTTAAATAGTAAGCCTTTGGTTATTATTGCCATAAAATAAATCTCCTAAAACTCGTTCTACAAGCATTTTTCTACTCTCCAGTGATACTTGGAAGTGCTTGGGCTGTCAAAGAATATGCAAACTACAGATCAGATGCAGAAATTAGGTTCAAGCAACAACTCATGTGCTCATTTGAGACTAAAGAGGGACCACTACAAATTTAGGAATCAAAACCTTTCCACTTGTGAAGGCCACTCCATTTTTCCACTCCCCACCCTTCTTCCCTGTAAAGACACCTATCTGCAGACTCTTTCTTTTCAGCTTTTTTGAGCATGTTACTAGAAAACTTTTATATAGACCTGACAAGCAGATAGGCACGTGAATTCTGCCCCAGAACAACACAGAGACGTGAAGATGACTGCCTGTGGACAAAAGCCAGACCCTTGTCCATGGGAAAAACACATTCCTGTCCCAAACTCCTTCAGACAACCAGCATTTAAGGCTCCTGACACCTTTTGGCAGCAGGATGACGTTTTAGTAGTGACGTTAGTTTGTGTATCTCCACCTTATGACTGGATCCTGTAATGCCAAAGGTAAATCTGCTATCATGCTATCTCTGAAGGCTTGCTGCCTATGGAGCTATGTATAGCCCAGAAGTGGTAGGGAAATGCTTTAAGTGGAAGCCCTCAATAACCCATGACCTTGGGCAAATAATCAGGTAGGCTGGAAGACAAGGCTGGTTCTCAGCCTTCCCCCACCACTAAGAAGCCTCCCCGGTAGAAAATTTATTCATATGGGAGAAAATAATTACAAGAAGAAATACAGTAGTTGTCCACAACATTCAAAAAACAGCAACATGATAGCAAGAGAAAATAGTGAATTCCTATCATTGCTTCCAAATGCCTTGCTAAAAATACTAATTGAAAGTGGTGGATCATACAACTTGCATGACATACATACATGATTTCTAAAATTTCTGTGTAACCATTTTAGAAAGCTTATTTTTAGCTTTACAAATGATATAAAAATATTACCTAGGGAACAAAATCTAATAATAATCAGTCCTATGAAGAGGAGAAAACAATACTTGCCCTGAACCTTACATATCTTATGGAGTGTGAATCTATAGTTAAATTCCTCCTAATTGATTAAAAGAAAATCCATGACAGCCACGAATTTATTTTCATTCCATGATTAAATACATATCATGCCTTCATTAGCAAAAAATACAGATGGGAATAAAACAGATGCCCTAAACACATCCTGCCAGAGTACTTGCCAATTAAAATTTGCTTGTATTAACTCTACCTGATGCCAAATTGGCTACAAAAACGTCATAGTCTTTTTATTGAGGTTGTTATCAGTAGTGTACTTTGAATCCTTTGTAGTACTCCATCAAAAAAATACTCTGTGTGAATTACCACATACATTTTATAGCACTCCTGTTGGCCACTGGAAGCCTGCTGGGCAGATGCAGTACATCGTACTACAATAGTTACCCAAATGATAACAAGACCGTGGTTTTGGCACTCAAGTTGGGAACCCAAGCCTGACCAAATATGCAAAGAGCTATTCACTGGGACTAAACTTTCTCACCACCACTGATAGACCATTCTTCCAATGGAACCAGTATACCCCATTTTGCAGAAAGATGTAGAATTTAGGATTCCTACCTCGAAGACATCACCAGATGGATCACAGAGGGAGGACTCACCACTGTGCAAATAATGCTTTATTTCCTATCCTGGGAAAGGACTAGAAGTATTTCTTGACCCTTAAAGATCTCCTGAACCCTGGGAACTAGGAGAAGTCTGGAAACTAGGAGAAGCAATTCTCTGATAAGCAAACATGACCTTGCCTGTGCAACAAAACCTGATTGCCTAATAGAGTCTCCCCGATGTTTGTAAGAACAAGTTTATTGTCACCTGCAAATGTGTTTGTCAAGGCATAAAGAAATATCATTTTCCTACCTTTCAAGCAATAGTAGTGTTCTGAAAATATAAAACAACAGAAGAAATAAAGGCAAAGAAATTAAGCAAAAGGAGCACACACAGAAGTTTAAAAAAAATTTTAAAAAAAGGAAAAAGGAATGGATAGTTATGCTTTGAATTCTTCTGGATTTATGCAGCTAAAATCTGTCCTGAGAAATTCACTGGAAAAGATACAGTCATTGTTGGCTCTTAAGACATTACTCTATAGCAAATTAATAATGAAAGAGGCTTATGTCCCATGCTAGTGAGATTGTAACATCACACCTTTATATATTTATGGGATCAGTGGAAATAACTGATGAAGCATGCACACAGTCATACAAGTGAGATTTTCAAAAACACTCAAGAGCCTCCCGCTGTGGGAAAAGAGTTGAGCTACTGCAGTGGAGACAGAACTACGCTGAGTCTGAGAACCTCTGAAAGCCTGAATTTAAAGCACTAACTGGTCCCTTTTTGCAAGTGCTACAGCTTTTACATCCATTTCCCTCCTTAACAGCTACATTCATGTTCACGTAAGAAAAAAATAAAAGATCCAGCACTTACATTGCAAAAGCTTGTTCCCTATTACACCACACAATGGAGAAATTAGATTTTTGCTTCGTAGAATACTTTTACCTCTATTGCTCACTGATTACCAATACAGAAATTAAATACCAGATAATCTTTATGTTCCAAACGCAAATATCATTCAGTTATAGTAGTCTGCATATTCAGAATGCCTTATTTCTCTCTCATGTACAAACTTGCAGCTTCCCTAAAACAAGTGAGGTTGTAGCAAGGACAAAGTTTACGGGCAAGTTATGCAAATCTGAAATGTTTCTAGGGCAATGTTTTATAGTCCCTTAGAGTTCTATACATAGTATTTTACTGTGTACTCAAAGAGCATTTATTTACCCATGTGTCTGAGGTTTTCTGTCAGGTTTAAAGTTCAGACTTTTCTCAACTAATCTAATTTGTCCAAGATGGATGGCTTCACTTTTTTCCTTTGGAAAACCAATGCTGTTACACTGTTTCCAATTCTTCCTCCAAAGCAAAACTTCGGTGTTGGCAGCTCCTCCAGAATTTCAAATCCTGCCAGACAGAAATTAAAATGCTTTTATTAGAAGGAAGTAATTTCATTCTCTACTTGGATAACCCTTTGCAACCCATTCTTTATTTGCCTGGAAAACTTGCAAGTCAGTTACTCTGTGGGTTTATAGGACTGTATTGTTACACTGCACCACTGCTTTATACAGCTGAAACCTTTCCATGGATAATAAAAATCTTAGCTGGCTGACTCACACAAATTAATGGCAGAAAAGATGATAACTTGCCAGTAAGTTTCGTTCCCCAGAAGGGATGGTTGTTTTAGATCCACACTGAGTTTCAAGCCTCAGGCATGAGATTCAAGAGCTAACCGGCATGTAAAAAACACCCTTTCCAGTGGATCAGAAAGGTCGCTGAGGAGGTGACATAAAAGGTCACAGTCACAGACCTGCCAGTTCCCCTAAATATGGGTAACAATGTTACCCCAATTTCAAAGCAATCAGATGGGTGAACTGATCTGGTAATAAAGGACCAAAAGAGAAGTATCACCCGGGTATAGAACCCCAGCCTTTCCCAGTGTAACTAGACTGAAATCGTCTTCCTCCAAAGTGTAACAAAATCTGTCCTCCCTTGGCACATTGGCACTGGCAAACGCAGACGCTGTAATTCCTGAGGAAAACAGAGGGAAGACAGGCTGAAGCACTTACTGTTCGCTTTACCTTGTCTAATCCTGATCTGAGAAAGTCAATATGCTAACACAGACGTTAAAATTTACTCATCGCATCCTTGAACAACCGTAAGTTGGCAGATGGTTCTGTTCAACTGCTTACCTTCTCTGAACTCATTCAACAGCTCCTCCTTGGTCCAGTTGCAAGACGTTATGAGGAAAAAGCCCTCTGGTTTCAATACACTGCAGAGCGATCTCACGTACTCCTTCCTCTTTCCCACCGCGTTATCAGGATTAAGGCTTATGGCATCAAAAGTCCCCTTGTCAATACAAATCTCAAATCCTGATAACTCAGCTGATGGAGCCAGGAAGTCTTCTACCTAAACCAGAAGTCTACAACTGTGAAAACAATCTTCTACTCGGGAGCTCCTGAATCTTTAGTGCAAACCAATACTTCAAAATAAAAAGCCTCAAACCTGACAATAGGTGTGCTTAGGAAAGGGTTACTCACAGGCTTATCACACTTATAATGCCATGTCAGCTTCTTTCTTCTCTACGTATTATGTGATGAGCTATTTGCTGTAAAGCCCGTGTATATACCTATCCATCTAAAGCTCCAACTAACATACTTGAAGTTCATTCTTTAAATCATTATTTGTACTTTGATCCCTCGTTTCCTAGATGCTGCATGCTGGGCACTGTACAAATACAGAAGAATAGACAGCGCCTGCCACAAAGAGATTACAATTGACATACAAGAATAGAGACATCATACAGGTACAGAGCTGAAGGATAAAACAGCATAGCAGAGAGCGAGCTCAGAATGAAAGGCAGTCACAGAATCACAGGATGGCTGAGGTTGGAAGGGACCTCTGGAGGTCATCTGGTCCTACCCCCTGCTCCAGCAAGGCCTCTCAAACTTCCTGCTGCACAGCTACTGGCAGAGATTCTGTCACTTAAGGATTTCACCCTCTATCTCAAATCCAAAATTCAGAATGTAGCAGCTAAAATACAGAACTCGCCAAATGGTGAACCGCTATTCTGCTCCCTGATAGAAGCAGTGAAATCTTACTGGCCCTAATGACTGTTACAAACAGAAAAAAGATAAGACCAAAAATCTTCTTGTAAATACAGATTTATTTGGTTACAGTTCTCTCACAAATGAACGTCAAAAGACATCATTAATATAGTACACTGAGTACATCTGAATATCAATTAGGTCATTTAAACTTGGGTTCAATTGCTTTCTATTTCCTCAATAAGCTTTCTCTCAAAACTTACCTTTAATTTAATGTTAGACATCCCTTCTTTCTCTCTTACTTTTTCTGAAAGTTGTATTGCAGAAGGAGAGTAATCAATCCCAGTGAGATTCATGTAGCCAGACTTTGCCTAGACAGAAGCAGAGAATCTTAATCAGTGTGCTAGCAATTTTTTTATCCAACAAGTGTATTCCCTATCTATAATCCATTTCATCTCTCCTCCTCTTAAATGACAGAAAAAACCCACCTTTTACTCATTTTTATTCCTGTTACCATTACAAGAGCTAAATTGCTGGGGGAATGAGCTGAAATAACTGCATTCTGCCTAATACCTCATCAAAAGAACTGTTGACTGAAAGCTGGTTTACGTCAACAAGTGGAACACTGAGCAGAACTGTGAAAAGTAACACCCTGGAGGGGCACAGGCTCTCTTATCTGCACCAAAAGTAACCTAGAAACAAGGAATTTTCAGTGATGAGAACATGTGCCAATGTCAGATGCTTCAAAATACGAAAACCTCTCTGACACTTACATAACATTTGAGATTGAGCAATTATTTGGTTTATAACCCAAATTGTAAGAGCCAAATATGCAACACATTTTATTAGTACAGAAATCCACTGCAAAACCTTACATTTTTCTAATTATTCATGCTAATGTCTATTTGAACGCAATTATTTGCATGCTACAAGGTCTTTGTATCAGCAATTTTCAGGCAGGTTATGCACCACATACAGAGATTTTCTGTTAATCTAACTTTGGAGCAGATAACGATAACCCAGTTCAGTGAACTCGGGCAGTGAGATCCTAGCAACCCTTTCGCAAAGCAGGCGGGCACCTTGCACCAGCTGGAGTTGGGCATGTGGGAGGGGGGCAGTGACACATTTTCACTCTGAGGTAGAAGCTGAAGCGACCAGATCTGGGTATCACGTGTGTCAGTTGGTCTGGCTAGATCCAAACCTAACAGGAAGAGCTATGACCTTACGGCCAGCTGCAGGCAGTAACAGCAGAGAGAGGGAGGAGGCTTGCGTTTGTTTTGGTTTTGAACAATACATGGACTTCAACTAGCATTAAGCAATCAGCTACGTATCTACTTGTTCCAAAGGCTGATACCTCAACAGCGAGGAAAACCACAACGAGAATTTTCTAAAACAGTCCTTCCTCCAGTCCTTCAGCCCATGTGAGCTCAGTACTAGCCAGCTGCTCTTAATTGAGGACTAATTTCAGCTGAACACAAAGACCATGTTGTTTGCATTTGATGAAGAACAGCATATTGCTCAGGCTTCTGCCCACGTTCCTCCCCAGAGCAAACCAAGCTTCCTGAGATGCCTGTGCTGAAGGCTTGGGGGTGGAAGAGTAGTTCCCACAACAGCTCCTCTGTTTGGAAAAGAAGAGCTTGAGTCATTTCAGGGAGTTCCCATTCACTCCTATAGTCTCTGTGGCAGAGAAGGAAAGTTTAAGGATAAACAACATTAAATGTTGCTAAACCTGTATGGCCTGACTACGTATGGCCAGGAAGGGATCATTCACTCAAGTGCCAAACATGACCGCGCTGCATCCTGCAACTGGACTCCTGTCCTGAAGGTGGTATTTACAAGCACTCTTCTGCTGCTCCTTCAGATTTTCTTTAATCTTCAGATTAAATAGCAGAAGGTAGTTTGCAATGTTATCAGCACTGCACCGTGTTTGGGTTTCTGGTGCTGCCAGGTAGATACCCGCACTTGTGTGGTGAATACCCTTCACTTCACAGAAGTTTTTGAATACTGTTGGCTCCCACAACACTCAGAAAAAAAGGAGAAGGTCAGAGCTCCATGTGGCAGCAACATTTCCTTAGAAGAGCAGGAATTTTTGGAAGGCAAAAGAATTAGGTCATCAATGCAGCCTACCAGATTCCTGAAGTTAGCAGGGGTAGGACCATGATCTACTGCACACATAAAACCAGCAAGGGGTCCCACTTATGTATGTGACACCCTCAAAGCAAGCAGAAAGAAGAGAGGAAGCCTCTAGCGGCATTTTTCTTGGAGCTTACAGACAGGCGGATCCCTGCAGTGTGCGTGTACAAGACATTTAGCAGCATGCTGGATGTTTTGCCTTCTAGCTGGGTAGCGGGGCCAGTTTACACAGGATACAGCAATCTTTCTTGTTGTCACTTTATTTATTACCTGCTTTTCAGATGGCTATTCTGCCTCCTTTTTGTGCAATATTCCCTGCTGGAACTGATAATGACTCACTTAGACCTAGCTGCATTTAAGAGTAATGTTCTTACTATACTGTTGTTTACTGCTAATGGCATGCCAGGGCCCAGTATTCCCAATGAGCTGTACTCTATGGTACCTCTTCCTGTTCTGATGACGGTCTGATACCTACCCTCAGCAGCTACCTTTTACAGAAGTGCTACTAATGTCCTACATGACTGAAGTCTGACTGCTCTTTTCAGTATTGCCATTCCCATCACATTATCAAGTCCAACTCCAGTGGCAGATCTGTTCTACAGTAGATGATGTGCTTGCCAAAAGAATCCTAACTTGATTTTCAAAGCCTAGCAGCTAACACAAAAAAATTTCTTTTACATCAAGCAAGCAAGATCGTGAATTATTTAGAACCAATAAACAATGTAATTTTTGAAGTCACTTTTCAAATGGGAACTGGACTGAAAATTTCCTATTGAAGCAACCACAGTACTTTAAGGTGCTTAATGTAAGGGGGGAGGGTGCTCTTATGGCAGTTTAATAGTTTTTAAAAGCTAACAGGCTGTCCTTTTCCCATTGCAGAATGAAAATCAATTTCAGATTTCTAAGTGGTGCCAGTACAAAATTGAAGTCTTATAAGTAAGATTTTTCTGCTGGATGTTTCAACAATGATAGAGCTAGCTAGCATTGCATTTAACAATCATCATTATTAGGCTTCAAAATTAATTTATCTTAATGAGATGAGCAATTTCTACTTTTGATGATATGACTTCTCCTGTGATACAGAGAAGCAGCCAGTCTCCGTAAAGGCTTTAAACTCTTCTAAAATCAAAGTCCATGTTAAAAAAAATTCCATTACAAATCTGACTTTGACTTCCAGCCCTTCCAATTTCTGCAGTAACTAATGGAGCCAATGGAGAACATAGAACAACAGAAACTGCGACAGTATGACAGCTCCTTTCTTTACCAACTCTCCTGTATTCAATCGAAACCAGGAAAAAAATAACCGCAGCTCCTAAACACCTTGTATCACTGTATAACAACAACATTGTAGCACTTCAGAACATATCTGGTAAGGGGTTTCCACCCTGACAGAAATGGATACTTCTTAAAAAGAAGTGTTAACAACTTTTCAAGTAATTTACATAAAAACCTTGGGTTTAACCACTTTTTACATCGATAACGAGTATTATTATCAGAACTGAGTACGGAATGGAGAAAGGGTCTGGTTTTGCACATGAGAGTACTTTGTGTATTACTCAATTCCCTTACCTGTGGATGTTTTACACAGCAATGGGAATAAAAGCATTTTTAAATATAGGAAAACAGGAAGGTAAAGTTAAAATAAGGGATATTCAGGCTGACTGATTTAAAGAAACACCGTAAATTTCAAAATCTGAACTACCGACAAGCTGGGCAGTACCAAGAAACTAGAAGTTTGAGCATGTCTAGCAAAAAAGTAGGTATTTCCATTTGGTAGAACACCACACGTATTCTGTTGCTAGGTCTGCACTTTTAAAACCCCCTAACAGCACTGCTGGTTCAAGGAGTTACATACCTAAAAGCCCCTAACAGCACTGCTGGTTCAAGGAGTTACATACCTAAGTCTGGCAGCCTGGCAAGTGCCTGGCAGCCACTTGCAATTATGCCTTGTCTTTGTGACAGGATGTTCTTTAAGGCTTATCACCAGCACCGAGTTATATCATATATTCACTTATACTCTTAAACCAAATGAAAATATAAAACCTGATGCACAGTAACCAGTGTTCTGTTGGTGGGAAAAAAACACAATATAAGTTTTAATTTAGGCTGCTTGCTTTTTGTCTCCCACCTAAGTTACAGCTTTCCATGATTACTACTGTCACTTGTGAGAACCGTATTTAAACTGCTCCGTTCGGAGCACTGATTCTGTACCAAAAGCATAAACTTTGCAATATACCAACCAATTCAACCAGTAAAACACCGTTTCCCGTTCCAATGTCAAGCACAGAGCTGTCAAGGGGAACCTTTTGTTTTTCCAACCATCTGATTATACGAACCATGCTTTCTTCTCCAAACCTATTAAAAACAAGGGATCAGCTAATCAAGATAGCAAAGACATACAAAAGGCACAGCAAATTTACTTCATCACTCCCTCTCTCCAGCTTTTGCAAAGCATCTTATACTGAAGCACTTGGGTAACAACTGACATAGCTCATATTGCATGTTTGCGTTGTTGAAGTTAAAATGAATCACACGGCCTTAAAACTCACAGAAACACCAACTCTGGGAGGTGAAGCCCTCCATATATTAAAAAAGGAGACAGCACTGTCAACTTGCCTAGTTATACCTGAGCTCAGGGATAAAAATGAACATTTATTAGTAACGTACACCATAACTACCACCTCACTTGCTGTGTAATGACAGTTGTCCAAGTGCAACTTGGAAATTTGCTTTGCAAAATTGGGTAAGAGAAGAACTGGTGGCTTCAGGATTAAAATTCCCCATCACTTTGCCAACATCCAGAACTATTCCATCACCCACCAAATCGCTTGCTGTTTTTGCAGTGTCTACTTTAAAAACGAAATAATAGAAACACTCTGGTGGAGTTACTTTATTTACCAAATTTCACCAGCATCTCCAATGTCTTGAAAAGTTTGCAGTTCTCTTTCATACGCAGCATCCCAGCTAGAGGGAGGGGGAAAGGAGAGGATATTGCAATTAACGCTGGAAAAGATTTAGATTAAAGAGTGAGGGGAAGAAAGGGCGGGAAGGCAGCAGCCGCGTCGCGGTGCCACTTTATGTCCCCTGTGTCATGTAGATTGACGAACTGCTCGGGAACGCGCTGTCCGCCAGGCACCGAGCTGGAGACGCCCCGAGGGGGAAGGCTGAGGGTTAACAGACGAGAGTATCTGGGGCACGGCACGGGCCTCTCGCTCCCCG